AAAACCAAGATAAAAGTCCTCTTGCTACCATTCTTAGGTTTCTCAAACATTTGTAGTTTAACTGCTCATTGGGCAATGGTTATATAGTGTACTCAAGTTCCAGTGTTTCATAATATCCTCATATAATCTCAAAATTCTGAACAAGACAGCTAGTGGCTGGCAATTTCACTGACCTGCGAAGGGAATAATCAAATGCAAACAGATCTTCCTTCAGGAACAGAAGAGGAAAAACAAGGGAGGGTCTCCTGAGGTCAGAGGCCCAGCTTAACGTGACTCTCGCAAAGATAAACTGCTTTGAAGACCTGTCATTTATCTTTAAAATTCACACATTTCGTAGTCTATTCTGATAAGTCTATTTTTTTAATGAGGAAAAAAAAAAAAAAAGACTAACTGGCCAAAGCTTTCTTCTACCAAGTTCAAAGCTTAATGCAACACGTTTACTGTAAGAATCAGAATATGTTCGGTGTACACATCGCAGTTTAAGGAGCTTAGGACCAAACAAACTCTGTGGTCTAACCCTTCCAACACAAATGTTCGAGGTCAAGCTTTTACCCACTATTTGGAGACGAGAGAGACAATACCGAGAGTTGCCCGGCTGTAGCAGTCAAGTGTATCTGAACATTAAGAGAGTAAAGCTAAACAGCCTAATTATGGATCAGAAGAATTATGGCCTGACTTGTGTCACAACTTTTGGACAACGTTTTCAACAAATTGAAGTCAAAAGAAATGGAAAACCCTCTGTTCTGCTCAGGCAGGAGTCCTGAGACCTCAGTTGCTTGACAGGGGTGGAGGTCGGGGGTGAAGAGGGGGCCTGTTAATTGCATAATGGTTTCTGTTTAAATGTGTCTTTTTCTTCTCCCATTTCACCTCTGAACAGCAGTCTGCACAGTGATGACACCGTTAAGTATACGATTTTCTGTACTAGGGTTATATTACCCCCATTTCATTCGAACTCAAAAAATCCTGTTGAAATGCAAGTCTATCGTCAAATTTTAAAACACTAAATAATTTTCAAAGTGTAGTGCTTTAATCTTCTCAGAAACAAATTACTTGTTATAGACTCACAATCATAGGGGTGGCCCAGTGCATCACAACAGTGAGGCCAAGTGAAGGTACTGGAACAAGCCAGTGCTGGGTTCCTATACTCCAGATCAATAAGTGAGATAGTTTAAAGCTTCCCCCCAAAAACAGCAACAAATAACAAATGAACGTGAGCAAGAGTTGATTACATCATTAAGACAATCCAAAGAAAATATAAGTGAAAATTATCATAAAATGTATCGGCACCATGTAGGAACCCCTCATCCTCTCATTCCTTTACTTGTTTTTTTCCATGTGGACATTTCAGGTCCATCTCTGACTCCAATTTTCTCTTCTACAGCTGGTTCCCCACAACCGTTCTAACTCAAGATTTTCTCAACCACGTGAAAAACTGGTGAAGGTTATTTAAATTATTCTGTTGCTGTGATCTCTTTCAAACAATTACTTAAAATTCTTTAATTTAAAAGATACTTGTAATTAGCTGGTACTCTTCTTCCTGCCACCTTCTTCCATCTATAGAAATGAACGGCTGCTGTAATGTTAAGTACTGTACTTAGAAACCAGGTGGGTGGATCGCTTGAGCTCAGGAGTTCAAGACCAGCGTGGCCAACATGGTGAAACCCCATCTCTACTAAAAATACAAGAATCAGCTGGGTGTGGTGGCTCGTGCCTGTAATCCCAGCTACTCGGGAGGCTGAGGCAGGAGAATCGCTTGAACCCTGGAAGCAGAGGTTGCAGTAAGCCAAGATCACACCTGGGCAACAGAGCGAGACTGTCTGTTCTGCAGCCTGGGCAACAGAGCGAGACTGTGTCAAAAAAAAAAAAAAAAGAATAATCACGGGTGCTGCCAGCAGGCCAGATGGGTAACAGTATAAATTACTGATCTGTAGCCTTTAATGGGTCCCCAACAGAATCTGGCAACCTTCATTTGTTTCTGTGGTCAGTTCTCTCCCCCAATTTCTGGTTCTTTTTCAAACTTCCATGCTCCTCAACCTGACTATTCTGTCACTCTATTTCCCCATCAGAACGTACAACATTCCATATTCTTGAATGCAGACTCATTTGTGCTCTTCAGGAGAAACAGCAAAAATGACTAATATA